AAATGTATTAGAATTCTGTAGCAAAAAACTGATTCATCACAAGGCTTTGTTTTTTAAAACAAAGAAGAATAAGATGGGTTCTGGAAAAGGATGTTTTTTGCAGTAATACTTCTAGAACTAAGGCAGCACTGGGAAACTGTAGTACTGCGAGATACTGGAACAACTTCAGGAGTTAAACCTGCCAATCATGTTACCAGCTGCAGTATCACGCAAAGCAATATTGAAAAGCGAAGTACAGTAGCAATGTATCTGCTGCTTTCATTTAGTAAATTTTATACTTTTTAGTTCGCCAAGCTGGATTTGTAAGTGTCATTTTTCACGCTACTTCCCAACGTATTGCTGTCTCACAGAGATTAAATTACAGAAAGGATGATGATTTTTGAGGACGTCTAAAACTGATAGGCAGAGATGTGCTTAATTTTTCTTGACTATCATCTAAAAAATTTTATATCCCTCGCAGGCCACTCAGCAAACAACATACCTTCAATGAATGAGGAGAGCTCTTTAAACTTGCAAGCCGAAAATTTTTTCACGTTATATAAATAATAAACATTTTAAAGAGACTCCCCTCGCTTTTTTTTCCCAAAAGTGTAATTGAAGATTTAGTATAGAATTTTAACAAAGCAACAAACATGGAGAGCGTCCTGTCTTCTGAAAACGGCGCGCGGTGTATTGTCGACATCCAACAAGTGTCGGCTATACACACCGAATGAGACTGGCTAAAAGTAAACTACGGTTAATGCAATTTGGTTTAATTTATAGCAACTGTGCATAAATGTCAAAATTATGAATAAATAAATCTAAAACAGAAATCGTCCACCACGATTAAACATAAATGAATTTTGGAAAGATGTCAAAAATCCAAGCAAACTTTGACGAATGACTCACTGAATTAAGTTGGTCGAATTTCTCCCTCAGGAAGACGCTAATTGATTCATTGCGCGGCATCTTCGCATTTGTATCATTTGGTTTTAATGTATCGCCAGTTAAACCGCTCTCCACATACCTAAAATATTATTTTGCGAATCACTCAGGGCAGTATAAAGATCTGTAGTATCGCAAGTAGTGTTGCACATCGAGGAATCTACTTGAATATGTTTTTCCTTTTTTTTTTTCAAACAGCTATGTCCAGAGGATATTTGCTGCTAAGCTGGTTTAGCCGAAAAAGGTCCCGAAACTCTTCTAAAAAATCAGTCATGTTTAGAGTCAGAAAAACAGGAAAGGTAAAAAATCTGACAGCTTAGGTTTTTACGTGATAACAGGGCTGTCATTTTTACTTTTCTGCATCTTGATTTTTGAACCCATATTAGGTCTAACAAACAGTCTAAATTAGTAACAAGAGCTGCAGTGCCAAAAAACACTGTTCATTTCACTTCAGAAATGGAACTATTGTAAATGTTAATAAATACGTACGCATTATCCGAAACCAAGTGTGACGCTTCCATCTGTTGGAGGTTAGCCTTGCTTTGTGTAGTCGCCAAGCCAACAAAACTGCCATGGACTTTCAAATGGCGAACAGCTTCCTTCACCTAAAAAAAATTCGGAACATCGATGAACACTTCTGCAGCGCATGTTCCCTTGGGCAACAGCACCAGTACGGATAATCCATGTAATTTTAGTGACAATACCGAGAAACTGTTCCCGTACATTAGCACTGTCATCGAAGGGATGAGAGCGGAGTCATTTTTTTTTTTAGTTTTTGAGATATCTGAATGAACACATGCACTGGCCGTGAAGAGAGCAAACAATCTATCCCGTCCAAAGAACTTTCTAAAGTATGATAACAAAGAGGCAGCTGAACTCCATATGAAACATGAAGCAGCTGAACTCCAACGACGTATCACTGAAAAATACCCAAAATAAGGGTAGAACAGCTCGTTTACCAAGTATACTGCAATGCACCAGGTTTGCCGGTGCGATCACGTGTTTTTTAGCTAGGCTTGCAGATCGCTAACAGAAGAGATGATTCCTGCGTTGTACTTTTGCACTTAAACTCATATTGGCTATGTTTTGGCCTCTTCCTGCATGCAATGAGGAAGGACGTCGCCTAGAATGAAGAGGTTGCATTATCGGACCGCGTAGACTTTCAGCATAGATGATTGTTAGTTTTTTGCACGACGCCCCGTCGTTTTTCCGGCGGGCATATCCTTGCTAAGTTTCAGCTTAGCAGTCTGTCTGGTAAACGAAATAGCCAATTCGCCATAAATATCTTTGAAGCGTCCTAAATCGTGGCGCAAATGCAAATCGAGATTCAGTTTAGGTATACGATTTCCCATATGAACGTCAAACACTCTCACAAAGTTTCAACTACTTTTTCCCGGCTAGTTTTTGAGTTAGCATAGTTCCACGCGCAAACTTTAAGGTGACCGCACGCGTTACACAAGCTTACGTAATGGCTGAATTTGAAGTCTTCAGCTTATACATGCACAGAGAACATGCCTGCAAAGTTTCAGCTTTTTATCTTGTCTGATTCACGAAATCGTTTCTCGCCACAGAAATCTACGTACTTTTTCGGGTGTCCATATGCGAGATCTCGGCGCGTATGACCAATGACTTTAAAACGGGAGAGTGGCAGATGGAGTGGCCCTAAAATCTCAGCCTCCCAGCTTTCCTAGTCGCTGAGTTGAAAGTAGGTAACAAAGTTCACTCGCTTCCGAACACACACGCATACACGGACGACCTTTCGACAGTATGCGTTTTTGCTCGCTGTAGCAGTGCTATAGCGCTGCACAGCAAAAACGCATAAAAAACACACTTGCTAGAGATCAAATAATCTTCAAATATGCATTCGAGGAAAGCGGGCGCTTATGAGAAGGCGAACCACAAACAGATCATGCTGCACAATGACACAAAAACAAGCAAAAAAGTGATGAGTCCTAAGCGTAGCTATTAAATGAGCAAGTAATTCAAGCAAGAAACTGTGACTTTCCGAACAAACCTGAATATGTTCGTGATAATCAACAAGACGATCAGCTCCGGATTTAGCATTGCTCATCAGATAAGGCTTCACATAATGCTCCGTAAACTTGTTAAATGACTGACGCAGCTGAAACAAACTTCTATTCAGGCTAAAGCGATATGTTAGATTTCGCCAATCAACAAACCGATCCCTTTACGACTTCCTGATCTGTTTCGACAGCAAAATTACATTGACGCACGCCAAAAAGTTACGTTCTTCATTAGTCTGTTTTTTAGCATATGCGACCAACAGGGCTGTTTTCGACTGTCTCTCATTAAACTAAAGCATAAGTTCGTTTCGATTTTGGATTAGGTGCTGGACAGTATTAGTAAAAAGAGCAAAAGCACACCAATTTGGAAAAAGTTTAGTTTTGGCACCCTTTCTTCACTTGTTTTTGGCGGTAAATCGGCAATATGAGGACCGCTTAGAATTTTAAATGGTCGAAAGATGCTATTACAGAATAGCAAGGACCCCTTAATACGCGCTTACGTTTATGTTATAAAGGGGTGAACCAACAAATCACCTCTTTCAGGAAATCAAGAAACATCATGCGACACCCTCGATGTTTGTGAAACAAGGTAAAGGACTGAACAGATTGTAAGCTACAATAATGGTAAAACGATTTTGCTCAGCACCGGAAAAGAAGGAACGGATGTTCACGAAGTCGAATTTACTGCCAAAAGGAAGCGGTCTCCGTCAGTGATCTCTTATATAGCCCCATTCGTCATGCAGCGATATGTTCAATTTTCTAGACTACATTCCAATAAAATCATTATCAGCAAAATAAGATAACTGCACTCCACACGAAAAATAGGAAAGCTCTTTGAAATGATGACATTAAAACGAATTCATGAGATCAAGTAGAGATGTAATTTGATATTCGGGTTACTTGGCACTTGGCTAAGAGAAAGGTATCCAGCGTCCCTTCCGCATCTCCTCGAAAACAAATGCATCCGCGTCTAAACCTCGTTTCTGGTCAAAATTCACTCTAACTAGTCATCTCAAGCACCCCTGACTCATGTACATTTTCACATAGATGATTTTCGTTCCTGCTCGTCCTTCTTCCAGTCCTTTTCTTCCTCCGCTTCTTGCAATTCCTTACCCTCATTATGTAAAAAAATTTGTTGTAAATGAAGTCGGAAAAATTTATTTTTTAACACTCTAAAAAAATTCACTAACCCAATACTGCCCACGATAACCCGCGATTCCTTCGACAGCTGCCATCATATTGTTAAACACCTAAATAACATTTTTACTGCATATAAATCCTAATGAACTTAATGATGAACAAAAATTTCCGTAGTACACTGCCAAACTGACAACTTCCGCAACCTCTTTTTATGAGTTTTTGTACATTTATACAAAAACGCATACTGGCAAGAGATTGTCGGTGCGTATGTGTGTGTGTGTTTGTTTGTGTGCTTGTGTATGTGTAGATATATTCGTATTTTGCCATCTACTTTCAACTCGAAAATAAAAAGAAGTTTAGGAAGCTGGAAGTATAGGAAGTAGCATGTGCCTATCCTACCTGTGACTCTCCCGTTTTAATATTATCATTTACGCACGCGTAGTCTCATGTACGAACGTCAAAACAAAAGCTCATTTTACGCTTGCTGGCTCGCACATGGACAGCAAACATCGAAAAATTGCTTTCTTCTCAGTCTGGTTACCCAAGTTTGCAAACGGTGTTCTGAATTATTCACTTGTACGCACGCGAGACTCAGGCGTGCTTTAAAGTCAATTTCGAAATGCTCGAGTCACACACAGGCACAGAATACCCTTACAAAATTTTAGGTTCCTAGCTTGACTAGTTGGCGAAGTCGCTTATCGTAACAAATGTTTTTGACGCGCCTAAAAACGTTACAGAGGCGCGCGCGAAGGTTTATTTTACATTTATGCGCCCGCATACGACCAACAGACATTCCAGTGAATGCACGGCACTCAACCCAGTCTAATTCTCTAGTGTCTGGATTTCAAATTTGTCGTGTCCGTACGCCCGATATAGGCGTGAGTGTTAACTTCGCTCACACGCGGGTGAAGAATACCCACATAAAGTTACAATTTCCTAACCTGCCCGGTTTCCGAAACCGTTCTCTGCCAAAAAGTTTGAGTGTTTTTTCAGGTGTCCATATGTGAGACCCAGACGTATGTGAACATCGATTTTAAGTTGTTGGAATCGCACATGGGTTAGGAAGATACACGCATGCACATATACAAACCGATATCCTCTCGACAATATGCGTTTTTGCATTTACATAAAGATGCAAAAACACACGACTGACCTCTCTGCAGACTAGCGCGAAGATTACATGGACTACCAACATTTCGATTCTGCTGACGCAGAGCTAAACACTGAACGACGCCAGGCCTCCAACTCAAGCTGCCTAAGGGTTACCAAAGATTTCTTTATACTCAAAAGGGCTGAACTTACATTTTCGCCGACCATTTCAAAAACTGTCTTCTTATGCACTTCATTCTGTTTAACTTTTAAAAATCTGACCAGCTGTTTTATTGTACCGCCCTGCAAAATTCTGATTAAACGCATCTTGCAAAGTTCTCCAAAATAAGTTAATGTAAGAGAATAAGTAAAACTGAAATAACGAAAGACGCCTGGGCACCAACACACCAAGATCGCCTGGACTGTTAATGCTTCGATGGAATGGAGAAGCATCTACGGTCAAAGCATACACTCAATGCAGCCTTTTTCTTCTGATTGTTATGCTTACCTCTCGTTGGACACGTTCACTTAAGTACTAACAAGAGCCAAAATCGCTCTGGAAACCGGTAAGGAGATCTGACACTAGCGAGCTCCTAAACTCCGAGCGCCACCATGCCAGACCTTAATGTCCGGAGCTGTGAAACAACAAATTCTGAACAAAAAAGTGCCCCTTTTAAGGAAGAATGACTCTTTTCAAAGAGCTTAAATTTTCGTACCTGTATAAAAACAGTGAACAATATAATAACAATAGTACAGGAAGCGAACATATTTTTAGCTTTTACTGCCTAAAACATATGCAGAATTACTCTGAAATTGTAGAAAATACAAACACAAATTAGAGAAACCGGCTGCAAAATAAGAAATTTTGGTGTTACGTATTTCCAAATTCCACTGCCTAAAACTTAAAAATTAAAAAAAAAAACCTAAACCCAGGCTGGGACGCACCAGGTTTGCCGGTGCAACCATGCGTTTTTTCGCTAAACTCACAGGTCGCTAATAGCAGGAATGATTTCTGCACTGCAACCTAACACTTGGGTTCATATTGGCCGAGTTTTGGCTCCTTTTAGCATGCCGGAGAAAGGGCGTCAATTGAGATGAAGGTGGTGCATTACAGAGCCGCATGGACCTCCAAATACATGACTGCCAGTTTTTTGCATGAAGTCCAGTCGTTTCGGTAAATGCTCGCCTTCGAAAAAATGAAAAATGCAAATTTCTAGTTCACTAAAAAGTAAAAATGTTGTTCGAGCGATCGTTTTTCAAAAAATCCAAGTATGCAAATGA